GACATGAGCAGCTCACATAGCACTTTGCCAGTTCTTCTGACCATATACATCTTCATACCTGCTTTGTTATAAGTGAAAGTACGTTCTACTATGTGTCCTAATACAAGGCCCCCGGTAGCCTGGTATTGATATTGATGTATTTTTTGAACCATTGATGGAAGATATAGAACATCAGGTGATTTGTCTCCATGAAAGTTTATTTGATATCCGGTTATAATTCACACGAATGGCATGTCATGCTCATCGTGTTTCTCGCTATTCCTATAACACTACTACAAAATATCAAATAGGTGTCACCACTATAGGTGCCAGAAGTGCTAAAACCGGCACCTATAAGCCTTTTCCCACCTCCACGGGTTGAAATTGCAAAAAACCGGCACCTTTAAGCAGTTATAGGTGTCGGTTCTAAATAAAAACCGGCACCTATTCTATATGTGTCGGTTTTTAATAAAAACCAGCACCTACGAATTGAGCCGAGCCAGTGGGAGCCAAGGCGGTGGGCCCCACCACGACGCGGGGAGGAGATAAGTCCGCTGCTGAGTCGCGCGAGGAGATAAGGCTCGCTCGGCTCTCGTTCTGTCTGCTCTCTCTTGTTCTTTCTCGTCTCCTCTCGATCTTTCTCGTTCTCTCGCCAGTCGCCACTCTATCTCTTTCGCCGGCCCGGCGGAGCAACGGAGGCAACGGCCCTGTGGCGCGCCCTCCCCTCCGCCAGATCTGGCCGGAGGGGAGGCAGTGGCGAGTGGGGGCGGCGTCAGCGGGCGGTGGCGGGGAGCGGGGCCATGGGGAGGCGGAGGTTGCGTCGGAGGCGGAGGCGGAGGCGGCCGCGCCCTCCCCTCTGCCAGATCCGGCCGGAGGGGAACTCTGGTGTGGGGGAAAAGAGAGCAAGACTGAGTACTACCCACTGTATTCAGCAAATCATGCCAGAAGAGGAGGTATGATGCAGGATATATCCAAGGGAGGCTAAAGGTTCTTTTGCATAAAGCTAGCATTTAAAAGCAATAGTTGAAAGCAGTAAAACAGCGGTAGTAATTAATCCATATTAACCAATCACTGCTCAACGCTTCACCACGTTGAGACAGGCCCAAACCACCACCTGAACTAACCAGTTCCATTAGCTAACTAGGGGTGAGACTAATCACGGTGAATCTGGTCGACCGCCCATAACCGCGGGTACGGCTATTCGAATAGTTTTACTCTGATCAGAGGTGTACAACTGTACCCACAAGACACAGCCCCACAACACATTTCCGTGCGCCGACATGCCACCACGACATACCGGAAAGAGGCCGTGACAGGACCCTTCGCATAACCCCCTCTAACCGATCGCACCACACCTCAGGGTTCACCCCCGTCCCCAGCAGGCAACGGGCAGCCCCCCTCTCGTGCCGCAGTGAATCCGGAAGCCGATCAACCGAACACCCCGGCCGACCCAACTCCATCACGCCTACCCTCACCTGGGTACGTCGGCTAGAGGAAAGCTACACTACAAGCCCAGCCGTTGCCCACACTGGCTTGTGGTAAGCACGATAAATTCTTCCAGGGTTTCCCGCGAATCGGTCCTTAATCGCCATGGGCACAACTAGCAAAACTATGCACCCACAGCCCACCATGTAGTGTATTTTAATTAACTAACACCATTACGGTGGCTCTATTCCAAAGCTATGCCAGTAATCAAAGTCTATGCCTTAAGGTAATTCCCCCTCTGTGTACTAGCTGAACTAAGCATGGCTAAGCATTCCCTAAACCAACATCTAATCATTTTAATACCCAAGTTATCAATGGCATAAGGTAAACAAGATATGGCTGAGTAGTAGGACCCATCCCACATGATATTGTAAAACAATGCAACATTTAATAGAAATGTGGGACATTTGTAAATTGGGTACAATATGATCAATCGTAATGCATGACTTGCCTTGCTCTCGCACTAATGAGACCACAGCAACGTCTTCGAGAAACCGCGGATCGACGAAACGGCCAAAATCTACGCGACAAACAAAGCACACAAGCAAAACATGCTGTAAGTCTACTGAAACAGAGAACAAAACTATTTTTAATGGATTCTATGCATTTTTATGAATTTACTGAGACTTGAATGGACTTAAACAGAGCTCGGATGAATTAGATATGAATTTTAGAAGATTAAATGTGTTTTTACTATAAAAGAAAATGCCTTAATGGATTTTATTGCGCAATAAAGGTCCCTGCTGACATCATCAAGGGGGGTTGGCGCCGACAGATGGGCCCCACTTGTCATAGACTCAAGGGCGCCGGTCTACTGTGGACCGAGTCCACGGGACCGCGGAGAGGAGCACCACGTGGCGCACACGTGGTGCCGACGTGGCGGCCACGTGGACGGCCACGCGGGCGGCAGCCGAACGGCCCCGATCTACCGAGCGGTAGATCAGACGGCTGTAGCGGCTCGCGGCTGGGCAGTGCACGGGTGGCTCAAGCCGGCCCGGGCATGGCGTGCGGCGGCACGGCACGGACACCGGCGGCTCGCGGCGGCGCAAGACGGTGAGCGGCGAGGAGTGGCGGTATGCGGCGACGCGGCGGCGCGACAAAGAGAGAGAGAGGGAGAGGAAGGGAGGGAGACCGATCCTCACCGAGGGGCTCGGCCGGCGCGGGGGAGGAGCGACGGTGAACGGCGACGACGAGCGACGGGAGAACGATGGCGACGGGCGGACGAGCTCCGGGACCACCTAGGGAACAAAATGGGAGGGATTAGAGGGAGAAGGGTGGTCCACGGCGAGCGGATTTGCCAGCCGAAGATGGCGGCAATGGTGGTGCTCACCGGAGCGCGAGGAGAACGGAGCTACGGCGACGATTTGTGTCAACCGAGTGTTGGACGGGGTAGCCCTCGCAACGGCGAAGCTAGTGGCGGTGGTTGCGCGGCGTGGCGACGACACTAGCAGTGGCGGCAGGCGGCCGGAGAGTGGCGGCGACGGCGGCGCTAGGGGAGAGCGGCGCGGCGGTGATAGAGGGCTCAAGAGAGTGCGGCGACGAAAGGAAAAAGAGAGAGGGAGGTGCGGCGGTGCTTAAATAGGAGTGAGGGAGGCGAGTCGTGGCCGGGAGGGGGCCCTATTGCGCCGGCGAAATGGGGAAGGTGGAGGAGAAGAGAGAGTGGGGTTGGGGATTTCAAATCCCCCGCCATTTGCGGGCGTGCGGGCTTGCGGGAGGCGTGGGGAAGGTGGGCGGCGCTGTGGGTGCGGAGCACGGGCGGAGTGGGGCACGGAGAGGCGGGAAGGCCACGGCGTGGTCGGCGGTTGCCTGCTTGGCGCGGCCGCGTGGGCGGCTGGGGGTGGAAGAAGGGGCTGACAGGTGGGCCCCACCTGTCGGTGACCTTGAGAGGGGAGGAAGGCGGCTCGGACTGGGCCATGGCCACGGGCCGGCCCAAGAAGGAGGGGGGGGGGGGCGCGCGCGCGGGAGGAGAGTTGGGCCGACGGCCCAACAAAGGAAAAAGGAAGAAAAAGAGAGAAAAGGAAAAGGGGAATTTTCCAGGGATCCAAATATTTGGTTAAAATTATTTCTAAGGCTCTGAAAATTCCACTAAAAAATCCTGTTAGCATATTTTGACATGTAGAATCTAAGAAAAATTCCACATGTCGATTCCGATTATTATTTGCATTTATTAATTAAGGAATTAGCTCTAGGTTAAATTAAACTAATTTCTTCGGACGATTTATTTAACAAATTTTAAAGCAAGGAGGGGAACTTCAGAGCGTGACATGCTGTATCTTTTTATTGTTAACCAAATACTTGTTGACACATTGTTCCCATATTTTTTTTAAAGTTTAAAATGTCACGTAGATGTCATGTCAGTTGAAACTACCGTTCAAACCATTTTAAAATCTTATCTTCATTGATTTTTAGGAGTTGAGGGCGGTTCAGGATGAATTTCAACGATAAATTGAGGGAAGCGAGTACGCAGCAACGGCCTCGCCCAAGGCCTCTGAGCGGCTTGGACTGGGCTGTGTCTAGGCCGGCCCGGCACGAACAGCCCAAATGTGCCATTCCGCCGTGCTCGGCCCGCACCCCTCACTCCGAGTCTCTGACAAGATAGCTCGATGGGCCTTGGGACAGCCCGTTTTGTCAAGATGCACGATGGGCCTTGGTACGGCACGAAGTACAGATCAATGCAAAGGGGAAAAAGTACACCGAAGGTCCCTCAACTTGTCATCGAGTTACAAAATCGTCCCCTAACCGCAAAACCACATGCCGGACGTCCCTCAACTAACAAAACCGTTCACTTTAATCCTCCAGTGGTTTTGGCCCTAGTTTTATCTTACGTGACGGCTGAGTCAGCGTGGGACCCACGTGGGCTCCACATGTCAGCATTGCCACATCAGTCTTCTCTCTCTTTTCCTCTCTTCTCTCCCATCCTCATCTCTCTCCGTTCTCTCCGATTGCGACAGGCGACACGGCGCGTCGGTGACCGGCTGCCGGCGACCAGCCACGCGGCGAAGCGGCGGCGGGGGAAGGGGCGGTGCGCGGCCGGCCGGTGGAGGCGCGGCGCGCGGGCGGTCGGGGGCGGAGCGGCGACGCGGCGGCGGGGGAAGGGGCGGTCGGTGTACTTTTTCCATGCAAAGGAATCGCCATTTCATTTGCTTCACGTTGCATACGCATCAGAAATTTCTTCTAACTTCAAAGTAAGAAATAGCGTGACATTCTTCATCTAGCTAATGACGATTTCGCGAGATTGTACTGAACTACTGATCGCCTGATCTGGAGGCTGGAGCTTAACTTCCAATACTAAAAGGCTATGTTCAGAACAATTATCTACTCCTACAGTCCTACGTGACAGCTTGCTAACGGTATGTGACACCGGCAAAAATGCTCATGTACTTCTGGTTGGATGAGATATTGTAAGAAATTCTTATATTTGAATGAGAAAGGTAATCGATCTATAATCTCTTCTACACCCCATGGAAACCTTTGCTGTTGGATGCATGCATGCTCAATGCGTCTTTCCTTTCTTGCTGCCATGTAATGTACAGTGATGCCGTGTTAATCATACCACACATTTCTGACTTTAAACATTAAATAGTTAATGTTCAAACATTTCATACGATTGATTTAAAATATCGTCTACCATTCACTTATACAAATAACGTACCAAGTCTTGTATTACCGCCACTTACACTGAACAAAGATAAAATTCCTCGAATTTAGATTCGCATACCTCCTTTATGCCACTCAATTCTTTCACTACCTCATTCATTCTCATTCTCTGACTTGCAGAGTCCCTGCAACACGCTAAACCAATTCTTGAAATAGGAGCAATAAACCAATCTACAATATCTTGAGAATTTCCGTCCTGTGGTATTGCGTTGTCCATAATTTCCAACAAATTATCAGGATAGGCCATCTCAACATACTTTGGAAGACTCATATCATCATGAAACATTGTGTCAGTTGGTCTTCTACCAGTAAGCATTTCCAGCAGTAGAACACCGTAGCTGTATATGTCACCTTCTCTAGAAATTTCTGTCCCCATGCCATATTCTTCAGACCAAAAAAAAAAAAAAGGGAGAGGATTAAATCAGTTTTGTAATGGACCGAATGCTACAAATCAATTATTGGTGCACTTTCAGACTAAACGAAAGATAACTATCTATGAACTGAGTTTACCAGTTCAGAACTGTAGAGGTAAAAATACCTAAAATAACTGGTGCAAACAAAACGGAGCAGGAACAGAAATTAAGACAGTAGAATTCGAATTACATCCTGTAGTTACATACCTGGTGCTAAGTACCCAATAGTGCCTTTAATTCCAACTGAGCTACTCTCACCCAAGCATTGGCCTTCTGCTTCTGCACTCATTATTCTTGCTAAACTGAAGTCACCAATATGTGCAGTCATATCCTTATCAAGAAGAACATTACTTGGTTTAATATCGCAGTGAGCAATGGAAGGACTAATGTGATGGTGAAGATACTCCAGTGCCTCTGCAACATCAAGAGCAATGTTTAATCTTTGCATCAAGCTTAGCTTCCCAGGTATGTAGGAAGTATTTTCTGTGCTTGGATGTAGCCATGTGTCAAGGTTTCCATTGGAGATAAACTCTAATACAAGTGCCTTAAATTCATCACCATTGTTGTCCAAGCTATCACAAACAGTGATAATCCTGACTAGGTTCCGATGTCGAATCCGTTTTAGGGCATTGCACTCGGACATGAAGCTCCTGGCTGCTCTGGTCTGATGGAGATCAAGAACCTTCACTGCTACAGTGATTACATTTGAACCACAAGTTAAGTTTCCTCTATATACACTACCAAAGCTTCCACGGCCGATCAAATTTTCCGCAGAGAATGAACCCGTTGCGACATTTAACTCATTATACGATATCCTCTGATACATCTCATCGATAAATTTGCTACCTTGATCTTGATTAACTTTGGATGACTTTTCCCTTAGCCTCTTGATGCAGTAGCATGTAGCAATGCAAACAATAACAAAGACGAATGCTCCCACAATCAGAAAGATCAAGATATGCACCACCGAACGATGCGCAGGCTTATCGGAAGATTGAAATGGGCATGGCGGGAAATGAAAGAACATAGGGCCTCCACATAGCATATCATTACTTACAAGTGATACAGCACTTGCATTAGAGAATATCCCCTTATCTGGCACCATACCAGATAGGTTATTGAATGAAAGGTTCAGATTCTTCAGAAGCTGGAAGCTCTCAAGGAATTCAGGGATGGGTCCTGAAAATTTGTTGTTAGAGAGATCCAACACTTCTAAGCCCCTAAGTTTATTGAGCTCTTTTGGGATTAGTCCGTGGAGGAGATTTGCTTGCAAGTATAAAAATTGCAATGCAAGGCAATTACCAAGGGTGCTTGGGATCTGACCAGACAATTTATTTGATGAGAGATCAATTATGCCAACATTGACCAAGTTCCCAATATACGGAGAAATGGGGCCACTTAATGCATTGTTCGAGAGATTAAGTGCTTCAGTCAGGGAAGAAATTCTGATAATCTCTTCTGGGATTTGCCCACTCAAAAGATTACTTGAAAGGTCCATAGAAGTTAACTTGCTTAGGTTGCCAATAGTTGCTGGAATTCTACCCTCAAGATAGTTACCAGACAGAAGAAGCTGATTTAGTTGTGTCATGTTGCCTATGGATGATGGAATCTCTCCCTGGAATCCATTTGAAAACAGAAGCAACTCATGGAGATTAGTGAGCTTTCCAATATCTGAAGGTATAGTGCCATTGAAAAGGTTATCTGCAAACTCAAGGCTTGTGAGTTTGGCATACCTCCCTATTCCTTTAGGTAAAATCCCAGAAATTTGATTTCCTCCCAATCTAATGCTCTGGAGCTCTAGTGAGAGATTAGCAATTGTATTTGGCAAAATGCCTGACAGGTTATTCAGTTGAAGATTGATGTAGATTAGATTGCTGCAGTTAGCCAAGGATGTTAAAAATTCCCAATCCCTCGGCTCTGTAGCTTGAAGCTCATTGTTACCCACTTCAAATACTGTTAATTGGCCATTGATACCACTATTTGGTGGAATTCGGCCTCGGAATCTATTTCTGTGGAGGATGAATTTTTCAAGGACAGAGATGTTTGAAAAGGAGGCTGGAATTTGTCCTTCAAGTCTATTGTAGAAGGCAATAAAATACCTTAGATTGGGAAGTGTAAGGCCAATATCTGTAGGCAGAGAACCTGATATGATGTTGGACCCAAGATTAAACACCTTAAGGGAGGACAAATTAAACAATGATGCAGGAATCTCACCTTCTAATCCGTTTCCAGATATAGTCAAAGCTTCAAGGTTTGTAAGCTGAGATATAGCCTCAGGAACACTGCCCCTCATCATATTACCCGCAATGTTAAAACTTTCTAGCGCGGTCAAATTGCCCAGCCATGATGGGATTTGTCCATGAACATAGTTATCAGCAATACTGAACATGGTGAGGGCAGTAAGATTTGCAAATGTAGATGGTACATAACCCGAGATATTGTTATGGCGAATATTCAGAACCTCAAGCTTTGACAGCTGACCAATGGATGGAGGGATCACACCAGACAAGAAATTGACACTCAAGTTGAGCCTCTGCAGTGCCAAGCATCTTGCAAGGCTAGGAGGGATCTCACCTTCAAGCTTGTTGTCTGACAGATCGAGCTCTCGGAGTCCGGTGAGGTTGCCAACAAGAGGTGAGATGGTGCCAACGAGGCCAAGACCCTGCACGCGCAAAGAGACGACACGACGATGGCGCGCACCACTGGAGCACGTCACGCCTCTCCATGAGCAGAAGCCATTGGTGCCATCAGAGGTGCCATTGCTGACAACACTCCAGGAAGACAGTGCATCCGAATGATCCTTTGCTATGTGGGATCTGAATGATAGGAGAGCGTGGAGGTCATCACCGGCGTCGATGGAGCGGGAAGCCGGGGCGAGAAAGAGGAAGATGACAGTGGAGGGAAGAGCAAGCAGCTGGAGGAGCAAACGTGTGATCGCCATGGATGTGATGGGCAAAGAGAACTAAAAAAGGACGTGGAGATTTTGTTGTGGTGGAGGCCATGCAGTCTTGAACGATCAGTTACTTCTAGTTTAACTTTTGCAATGGAATTTTCATCTCATCGATGACTAGTCAGTGGTCAGCAATTGCTGCTAGTACCCTCTATATGCAACGCCACGTTGCAAACTACTTCCTATAATATACTGATAGCATAGAAAGATCGTTGCTGTGCATCCATTTTTCTTTGACATCTCTGCAATGCAACCAACACATGGATACCTGGTAGCGTAAAGAAGTCGCTGCTGTGCTGACAACCTCGAGAAACATCTGAGAATAAAAAATATTATCCCAATCTGATGCCCATGCTGACCAAATGTCACAAATTTCTTCCCCTGTTTATACCGGGTTGACTCTGCATCTGAGAAGCCTTCCTCCATATTCCCATTATCCCACCAAGAAGCAAATTAGTATCAGTAAGTAGGTGGGTAAAAGGCATTGATGAAATAAATTTTTTTATTTGCGAACCAAGAGCAGATAAGAAAGTAGAAGATAATTTATTTTTGGGACAAAGTTTGAATTTCAGAAAATGATTTATTTTGGGATAGAGGGAGTACGCATCAAGGACCCAATAGCATCTCTAGCCGATGCTCCATCTGATCCTCCATCTAAGAAATAGCGGACGGAAGTAAAAAAATAACCTCGGGTGGATACGCCATCGGCTACGCAAAAAATAGCGCATTCACTAAATAGGTGAAAGGAATGCCAAATGACAAGCACCTTCCAGCAAAAATATAATAAAATATAGGATGATATAATATGGACGATATAAAATAGATGATTTATTGGAGTGAAAAGAAGTACAGAAGAGAATATTTTTTAGACGACCATCCAAATGGGAATATGGAGGATGAAATTTGGATGAGCTCATGGGATGCTCTAAGGTCCCAGATATTTGTACTGAGAAAGTGAGGATTAAGGCCAAGTTTGGATAGTTTATCATAAATTACTAAAACCCTTCTACTCTGAATCGATTCCGTGTGGGAAGAGATAAGTAGTAGTTTTCCATTTTACAAGATTGCATTTCAAAATTCAAAATATTTTGCTCCCAGAAATTTAAGGGAAAGAGCTCAGGCTGAAATTTGTTTGAATTTTAAAGGGTTCAAACCTAATTGTATAAATTCAGGAAAAAACTATATTAATTCAAGATAAACAATCTAGTTTTTGAATAAATTAAAACATCTCTAAACTTTATTTTTGTGCACATTTAACACTTTTCGCAACAAACCGATTAAAGTGTGGTTTTGGTTCGATTTGATGCAGCATGTATACTCGAAGTATAGAAAAAAAATCATACACTCTACCTTGAGAAAAAAAACACACTAGGGCGGACAGCTTCTCCGCTTCTATGTCGTCGTCCGGCAATTTATCGGTGCTGAGAAAATCTGTAAGTGGTGAACACCAATCTTGCGCAATTTCAATGTCCGCCACGATACTGTTTGACTTGCACTGTAGCCCCCGAGGCCCGAGCCTACATCGGTGATGTTGTCAGTGTTGTGTTTTGGAGTACCCTTGACGGAAGGTTTGATTAATCCTTCAAAGAACGTGACCAGTTCCACCGGTTCTTGTCTGGAAGTGCGTCGGGCAAGGTTGTTGGCATCAACATTGTGCTTGCGATGGACATGGCGCACTTCGAAACCGTCAAACCTTTGCTCCAACTTTCTGACTTCTACAAGGTATTTGGATGACTCGGGGTTGAAACATATGTAGTCCTTATGCACATGGTTGCCAACTAATTCTGAATCCCCTTTCAGAATGAGTCGTTTGCTGCCAAGTGATACGACTACTCTTAACCCGACAAGTAGTCCTTCGTACTCGGTAGTGTTGTTTGTGGCCCGAAAATCAAGTTATATTGCATGTCAAAACTGATCTCCTTTTAGAGATGTAAGGATAAATCCAACGCCTGCTCCTTGGATGCTGAATGCTCCATTGAAGGCCATTGTTGATCGCTCGTTGTTCGTATGCCCAACTTTGCCGTCCTCGGCAACAGTCCAGTTGGCAACGAAATCGGAGAGTACTTGAGACTTGATGGTTGTTCGTGGTATGAAGTGGACATCAAATTGCCCAAGCTTGGTGACCCATTTAGGATGTGTCCTGCGACCTGAAAGAAATGGCACACCTTTCGGGATGTCATGACCATGGCATAGAGCAGCTTATGATCGTAGATAATCCGTAAACATATGGAATACCGTTGTAGGACGACGGCGCGACGACGACGGACGAGCTCGAAGGTGACCCCGACAGGTGGGGTCCACCTGTCGGTGGCTGGGGAGGGGAGGGGCGGCTGGAGGCGAGCTAGGCCGGCTTGGGCCGACTCGGCCGCCGCGCCGCCTTGCCGCCCCAATCCCACCCCAATCCGGCCTCTTTTCTTCCGGATTTTTAAGGGGTCTTGATCCCCTCGTTCTCCTCTATCTTTCCCCTCAAGAATCGGAGCAAATGGTTGAGTATCTTGCCCGAATCGAACTCGTTTTCGAGTTTATCTCTAAAACCGAGTTTTTGATTTTCCGAGTCGATTTCTTGCGGGAGGAGTCCGATCTCTTCAATCCAAGGCTTTAAATAGGACCCCCTAGTCCTCCCCTTTCGTTTGCCCCCTCTCCCGTCCTCTCCCGTGACCCGTAGAGCCGTCGCCGCGTGAAACCATCCGCCGCCGCCGCCGGCCGAACTCCGGTTGCGCCGCCACGCCGCCTCCGCCGTCGCCGTCGCTTGCCGTCGCCGCCATTGGTTTTGCCAAGAGGTGGAGAAGCTCGGCCGCCACCTCTCCTTCGCCGCCGGCCGCCGTAGCCCGTCCCCACCGGCCAACCCGAGCCGCCGCCGTCGTCTCCTCGTCGCCGGCCGTCGTCGGTCGTCGTTTGGCACGAGGGTGAGTATCGTTGGGTTCGTCTCGTCGTCCTCTACGTGTAGATGTCCTCCAAAATCCCGGCCGACCACCCTAGCTCCGGCGAGGTCGCCATCCGAGCCGGCCGCCTTTGATGACGTCATCATGACATCATCGGTTTTTCTTTTTCCCGTTTTTCTAATAGATTAAATCTTCTGAAAATCATAACTAAATAACCGTAGATCCGTTTCAGGTGGTTCAAGTTGCTAAATTTTTCTAAAATCAAGATCTACATGTTAAAAATATCCACATGTACTGTTTATGCTTGTTTTTGTACTGTTTTGTTAATTTTTGTTTAATTGCTTTAGTTTCCGACGTTCCGGAGGAGAGCGTTTCCGTTGAGGAAGGTTCTGAAGCGTTTGCGGAAGCCCAAGGCAAGTCACACAGATCCCAAACAACCCTTTGAGCATGTTGAACCCGTTTAAAGCTATTATTTTATTTCAACTATGCATTATTTTTGAATGTCATCGGGTGGTGAACCTTTCCCCGTTAATTAATGGCCGAAGATGATCTTATTTTCCTATGGGTTATAATTTGATTAGCATGAACCTTATATATTGGATTGGTTCAGCTAAATGCTATATGTAAGTTTGCTTAGCTATGCTTAGAAACATTAGCTAACTAAAGGGGTTAATTATAAACTATATTATATTATATTATTATTATGGTTATATTTAATGGTCGCTCACGATGGTTAATCGTGTGATGTTAATTAATTGATAATTAAAATCTAGTTAAGGTGGGTTGTGAGCATATGGTTTTGATGGTTGTGCTCATGACAATTAAGGACCGGTTCGCGAGCTACTGTTGTGAAACATTTACCGTGCCAACCACAAGCCAGCATGGGCAACGGCTTTACCTTTTGTATAGCAGGGTTCATTATAGTGTGCCAGACTGTGAAGCGGCGAGAAGTCCGTGGGGGTCGCTGGGGAGTCCATGCCTTGTTTATAAGGGGGTGACTATGATCCGGGAACGGTGCACTGTTTTGAGTTGTGTTGTGCAAAGAGTATTGTCACGATTTCCCCCTTTGCAATGCCGTGGTGGTATTTCGGGGCATGGCAACATGTGTGGAATCGTGTCTTGTGGGTACAGTGGTACACCTCTGGCCAGAGTAAAACTATTCGAATAGCCGTGCCCGCGGTTATGGGCGGGTTGAGCAATGTTTTTCGTGATTAGTCTCACACCTCTCACAATAATTATGGATGTTATACCTGGTAATAATTTGCTTAATTCCTGGTTTGGAGGTTTGATCTGTACGACCGGGGTTGGTTGTTCAGGTTTGGTTGGGCCTGAGCAGCATGGGTGTGCTGTTCAGTGTTGATTAAAATTGATGATTAATTACTCTACTGTTTTACTTATCTTAAATCTTTGCTAAATGCTGCTTTTGCAAATGAGCCTATATTATGCCATCCTTTGGAATCCTTGTGCACTTGCATATTTGCTGTGTGGCTTGTTGAGTATGTCATATGCTCATTCTTGCAATAATCATCACACCTCAGTTGAAGATAAAGGATCCAGAAGGAGAAGACGTTTGGCTTATACCCCAGTTGAGCTGCCTGTGGGAGTGGAGCTGAAGCCATCGCTAGACCGTTAATTCCGCTGCTGTTTTTCTTTTCTTTTGTAAGTATGTAACGTTATTATTATGATGGATTTGTATATTAAATTGTCAGTTTGTGTACCTCGGCTGATTCCTGGACGAGGATTTTATGCACAAATAAGTTCGGAAATTACTAGTGAATTTCCGGGCGTGACAACTAAGGACTTGTGTTTCCTGGCTCTAGGCTGGGGATTAGGAATGTCCACCCGAGAATTAACAGAAGCTGAAAAGGGGAGAGCCCTAGCCACTGTCTAACCATACCTGGTGACTTTCTGAGCAAAAGATTATCTAACCTACACTCTCTGCTTTCTAACTGCAATGAGATCCTGTTGCTACTCGACAAATTGGTAGAGCAAAGACCTCTTGCCTTGTAGGAATGGAACTTCAGACTGATTTTAAAGGAGCACATTCTAAGCCTGTTCAAATACAAAAATGAATTCTGGAAAAAAGTTTGTACGATTAGATGGGCAAATTTGGAGATGAGAACACCAAATTTTTTCAGGCCTCTACTCCAGACAGTCACAGAAGGAATAAAATCTCACATTTAAAACTTGAGGATAAAAGACAGAAAGAGGGGTGTCCTCCCATGAGGAAAAGGCTCATGCTTTATACACAACTTATAAAAATAGAATGGGGATTGATGGTCACTCAGACATGGTTCT